GCTCGACACCAGCGCTATCAAGGTGATGCTATTTGCTGCCGAGACGTTGCATGCACCGATGCATTCTTGAGCATTTATCACAGAGATTCCAGGCACCGGGACCTCAATCTAGACCGTTGAGGACCGACATTGATGGCGGAACTACCCTATTCTCATTCCCCACAACGCAAGTTCCTCACAGCTTGTCAAGAAGCCCAAGATCAACACGAAAGAGATATGTATGTGCATATGTGGGTTGAGAGAAGTGACCCCATTCATTGATCTGGCAATCTAGCCATCCATTCTTCTTGGTCATGACGAGTAGTACACGGTTGGGCAATGCCCACAGAAGCGCGCCTCTGTGTGTACTGTACTGCGCTTCATCGGCCTACCGCCACGCTGAGATGCGGCGCATGGCGCCACACTTCATGCACGAAAGTGCCTTCTTCATGTTGCTGTTGCTGCACCCAGGCTTGACGCAGTCCCAGTTGTCGTTGCCAGGCGCGAGGATCGACGTCGCACTCTCTACTTTGCGTCCGGATGCATGAACGGTGCCAATCATCTCCTTGCCAGACTCTTGGTGCTTGAGCTGCGCGAAGAAATCACGCTTCGTCGACGCCGGTGCTGGTACTGCGGCGGCGGCCGGTGCGTCCGGCTCGTCGGCGCGCGCAAAGGCGTCAAACACGTTGCCCGAGTCACGGATGCGAGGCGACGACGGCGCGCTGTCGGGATGGCGTTTCTTGGACTTTTCCTTCTTGTGCTTGCGCTTCTTCTCCTTCTTCTCCTTCTTCCGCCTCCGGTCGGGCGACGGTGACACGTTCCCATGGCGGTTTTCACGGCTGTCGCTGCGGCTGCCACTGCGGCTACGGCTGCGTCGGGACCGGCGCCGGCGGCCAACAGATGCGCTGCGCGACCTGGACCTGGATCGCGGCTCGGATTGGGACCGGGACCTGGAGCGGTGGCGGCGCGTACTCGTCTCCATCGGCGACTGTCGGTTTTTGGGAAGCTGCGAGGTAGTATAATAAATTAAAAGTAAATTTGCAACTCGATATCACTATGCAATACTTTATAAAATCAAATACATGTGATTGGCCATTTTCTTCGTACTTTAAGCCAATCTTACGCGACTAGGTGATTGACAGCGCCGAAGGCAGCTTATCGATCGACCAAATCTCGCTGAAAAATGAAGTCGACCAAACTTGCCTATATGATAAAGGGCAAGTTGTAGATCATGAATCACCACGGCACGTCGGCGTTTGATGTCTGGATCAAGTCCAATGGGCCAAGCACAATATGATGGCATATGCCACATTTAGCCACATGGTGCCACTTCCGCGCATAACTATAAAAATTGACTTGTGGTTTACAAACACTGATACGATTTTAATCAAGAGAAAAATCAAACACCAAGTTGATTGGCCAAAAAGAGCGCTTTCACCGTGTATGATTGGCCAAAATGGCGTCGAAGGCCACATTCCATTCCTGCACCAGCAAGCGACCAAGGAAGCACGATGGCCGCGTACGTGGACTTTGAGACGACCATGGTACTCGCCATGATGGAAGCTTGCGCTGTGAGGTTGACGTCTGTATGTGAAGGGTACCTTCACCATGGAGCTGTACACGCAGCATGCACCGCGCACGTGCAAGAACATCACCGAGCTCGCCCGGCGTGGTTACTACGACAACACGATCTTCCATCGCATCATCAAGGTACACGGCTTGCGCTCGGACCACCATGCTTACGCCTTGCAGGACTTTATGATCCAAGGCGGCGATCCGACCGGAACGGGCCGCGGTGGTGAATCCATCTACGGGTACGACGCCTAGCCTCAAGCAATGCAACGTCATGGCTCTTCTTGCGGTAGTGGCAAGTTCGAGGACGAGATCTCGCGCGACCTCAAGCACACTGGCGCTGGCGTCCTCTCCATGGTATTCGTACATCCTTGCTGCCAGCACCAGTGCATATACGTCGTCGTTAGGCGAACGCTGGTCCCAACACGAACGGCAGCCAGTTCTTCATCACGCTCGCGCCAACCCCGTGGCTTGATGGTGCTACCTTCTTGCCGACGCCAAGAAGAGCTCATGCACGCTATCTCTTGTAGGTAAGCACACGGTCTTTGGCCGTATCTCGGAGGGCATGGGCGTCATCAAGCGGATGGGCCTCGTCCAGACCGGCGCCAACGACAAGTACGACGAGACTCATGCACCTGCATCTCACATAGCGTGCTCATGTAGGCCCCGCGACGACATTCGCATCGTCCGCGCCACGCCGCGTTCGTAATCAGGTCATTGTAGTTATACCCAACATGCTATATTCGCACTCGGTCTTCAGTTGACGTACCAGAGGTCGCCGAGCGCGATGCCCTCCGGGAGGCTCTCGACCGCGAGGCCAATGTCCTTGCAGAAGACAGGCGGGCGGTCCTGGTTCTTGTTGGCGGCGGCGTAGTAGGCTGCAAAGGCGTCAATGGAGCTCGACTCTTCCTGCACAATCTCGACGTCGTCGACCTTGCGCGGCTGCTTGAGCAAATCGAGCGACGCCGGCTTGTCTTCGATCGCATAGTCGACGCCGTAGATCGGGTTGACCGAGAAGACAGCGTGGAGGCTCTTGATCTCCTTGAAGAGCTCCCGCAGCTTCTCTTCTGGGTCGACTCGGAAGCCGAGGACGTAGCCGCCCGAGCCGGCCGACGTCTCGATGACGAGCGCGGGCCCAAACTTGGAGTTGCGGATGCGCGCCGACTTGATCTGCATGTACGGCATGCTCACGTTGAAGTTCTCCGCGAGGTTGGCGTGCCACACGACGCGGATGTTGGTGACGAAGAACGTGCCGAGGTTGCCTTGGTCCGAGCTGAGGTTCCAGACGCCAATGACCTTGGTGTACACTTGCTCGTGCGGCAGCAACCGGAGCTCCTTGTCGGCGATGATCGCGCCCCGGAGCTTGAGATCGCGGTACAATTTGGTCGTCTCGTACGACCGAAAGACGGCTTGGACCGTCGTAAAGAGGCGCGGACTCGCTTTCACGAGCGACGTAAAGATGAACTCAAAGCGCGAGTTGGCGTACTTGGTCATGATGTACAGAGCCTGCGTCGAGCCGCGGAGCTTGGAAGTGGCGGTGCGGATCTTGACCGACTGTATGCATGAGTAGCCGATGCTGAGGTTCGTGCGCGCCGAGCGGTGCGAAGCCCACAGCAGGCGCAGGTTGGTGATCTCGAGCGACCCGCGGTCGCCGTTGTTGCCCTTGGTGTCCTCGACCGAGTTGATCGAGTCGATCGCGACCTCGCCTTTCCGCAGCTCCGTCGCGGACGACGAAATATCAAAGCGGATCTCGCGGTCCTGCCACGTCACGCCGTCCGCCGTCGTCACGAGCTCCATCTTCTCCATCGTCGCCGTTGAACCGTTCGCTTGGCAACTGTCACCGAGCTGTTTCGTGCGATCCACGAGTTCCGACTTAGAGCCAAACGAATGGATTTATCCAAATTGGATCGTGTATTGGATAGATCCTTGGTGCAAAAACGTAATTGTGTATAAAGATTCAACGACAAGTTGTATACACAATACCACAAAGTGACACCAGGCTATTCGAAGGTGTGGACGGCGCCGAGGAGCTCCTTGATCTTGGCGACGTGGCCGAGCACGAGCGCTTCACGGCTCACGGGATCTTCGTCGCCCAGGCTGGCTTCGTCGCTGAAATGCTTGATGAGGCCGTGCGAGAGCCGCGCCAGAGTTGCTTCGAGGCCTGCAATCGTCCCGCTCTCGATCGCGTCGTCTTCGTCCTTCTTGTCTTGCTCTCGGTCTTCATCGACCTCTAAAAGCGCTGGCGGTCCCTGAAGGCGACGCGGTGTCGACGGGTTCTTGGCCTCGAACGGCGCGCTGATCTCGGTCACGTCGTCGTTGCGAATGCCATCTTTCTCTTCGTCCTTGGCGTCCTGCTGCTTCTCCGAGTTGCCCCGCCACGCTTTCATGTCGAGAAACTCGACTTGGATGAAGCGCTCGGTCTCTCCGCCCACATCGAGGCTCACGGCGTACTTGAGCCGATCGGCCGAGCGCTCCGTGACCGACTGACCGTTCGCCATGCTGCCCATGATGTTGGCGCGCTCGGCGTACCACCGCTGCTCGGCAAAGTCGATGATGCTGTCGTAGGAATAGCCCATCCTAGAGGACGATCATGAGTCCCTCGAGAGTACGAAGGCGGCGGAAGTACATGGCAATCAAGAGGTTGATGAGCACGATCACGACCAGCACCATGTAGACAAAGATGAAGAGCTGCGCGGGGATCGGCATGCGGCTGAGCCGGTACTCGTCAAACGAAAACGTCGCTGCAAAGGCCGCGAGGAGGAGTGATTTGATGCGGTTGAGAAAGATGTTGGCGCCTCCCCGGGCGTCGACGACCACGTACAAGGCGGAAGCGAAGCCCATGAGAATCGACGCAAACACGAGCACGAAGCGGACGACGTCCGTCAAGAGCATGCGCCGGAGCATCACGACGAACGGCCCCGTGGTGCGGAACCCGTACAGGAAGAAAAACATGTAGAGATACGAGCACAGGATCGCGCTGGCGACAAAGCCGTCTTCGGTGACGAAGTTGCCAGCCGCGCGGGAGATACCGGCGGCCACAATCAAGAGCACGAGGGCGCCTTTGAGGACGTTGTCGACCATGGCGGCGCCCGAGTCCTCCGTGTACGACCGCCAGCCTGTACGAATACGCCTCAGCCAAGACAAGAGTCGAAGAGAGTACAGTACCGTGGTGCCACATTTCACGGAGCTCGCGAACCAAGTGCGTCGCGATCTCCAAGATGACGTAACACTCGAAGAGCACGAGGACCCACGCGTCGTCGAGCGTCGTCGAGCCGTCGCGGTAGTGGCTCGAGAAGAGCGTCGAGCCCGTAAAGATCGTCGTAAAGAGGATGTGGCGCAGTAAAGCCCGGCGAAACCTGCGGCGAAATTGTCAACAACCGATCTCATCGATCGTGCTGTCGTACTTGGCGAGACCGACAAACTTCCATTTCTTATCAAGGAGCGTCTTGACTTCGTAGGTACTGATGAGCTCGAGGCGACCGCGCATCGTTGCCTACGCGTGTGCTCGTCAACGCACTCGACGAAATGGTTTGTTGAACTTCTTGGGCTGTGGCTGTCTTGGGAATGCACTTGGAGAGCATGTAGTACGAGCAGAGGCACTCGACGGCAGTTCGACCGCTCGTTGTATCCAAATCGGCGAGCAGCTATCCACACGCATGGATATATCCTATATCCAGGTATCGACCAAGTGGGGCACCTCGGACGCGCCGGCAGGTAGCACTGCGGCGCCGTTCTTGGGCCCGCTCGGTGTCTTTGTTTTGATGTAGTATCGCTCCTCAAAGTCGCGCAGCGGGATCATCTTGGCGGTGACGGGGCCGTAGACCCACGCGGTCGTCGTCTGCTGCATCATTTGGTGTTGGAACATGGTCGTCTTGCCCATGGCCGCAGCGAGCGTCAGGGGTGTTCTACGCACCAAATGACCCGCCTTGACTCTTTGTAGCGGTGATTTACAGATAATCATCGTTGTACTGGCGCAAAAACCGATTGAACGACGTCTTGTCCACGGGCTGGAGCTGCTTGAGGAAGCTCGGGAGGTCGTAGGTGCTGGCGTCGACCGTAAAGCCCGGTGGACACGCGTACGGGTACGCCAACATGGCGTACTTGATCGCAAAGTCGTAGACGTCTGGAAGGTCGTGGACGACCGCGAGGTGCAGCGCGTTGTTGCCAAACCGGTCAGTCATTGAAATGGAGGTCTTGGCGGCCGGCGACCCAGCAGGCGCCTTCTTGGCCGCTGCTAAAATGACTTTGGCGCCGTCCACGAGCTTGGAAGCCATTGCAAAGAGGAACGGCGTCCCGCCCAAGTAGCAGAGCATCCCCGGCGCGAAGAACGACCCGGTCGTTTCGGCGTCCTAGGCCATGTTAGAACTGGCGTAGCTCTAACGCTAGATACAAGAAGGTCCGGGATTCGATCGACGAGCCACTGGATGGCCTCGACGTTGCGGTGGACGATAGCAATGTGCAGCACGTTTTCTCCGCGGTACGGCGAAATGTTGTCGTCGCGGTCTTCGTACGTCAGCAACTGCTGCTTGTTGTCCTTGAGGCCTAATGCATGCTTGTAACATACATCAAGGATCATGTGCATCTCGAACCGGGGCACTCGGCAATGATCGCTTGGCCCAGCTCAAAGCGCTTGGTGAGGTATGCGAGCAGTACCGGCGTCGCACCGACAATGTCGCGCTTATAGAGATCCTCCGGGCGGTCCTTGAGGTGCCGAAGCGTGCCGGGAAGGTCGTTGCTGAGTACGAGGCGAAAGACGCCTGTGAGGTTCTCGGCAAACTGCCGCGCCACAATGTCGTTGTCGTTCTCGTACGTCACGTGGATGCTGCCGACGCGACCGCCACTCACGCGCGATAGCACGCGGTCCATACCACTCACGTGCGATAGGACGCGGTCCATGGCCCAAAACGGAAAACGGGTCTGGCGCCGAATTTAGCGATCCAAACTCAGATATGATATATCTGGATCCGTGACGTGGCAGCGTCAGCGACAAGCTTGACGTGAAACCGACAAACTTGAGCGTGACAACACGGCGTCAGTGTTGATCATTCCAAAGATTTATCACGATCGTATATCGCCACTACGATCGCTCGTGCTCTTGCTGGCCTAGACGTCGACGCAGCGGGCCGTGAACAACGTGCTGCAGCGGCACAAGCGTCTCGGGTGTCACCTCTGCACGCCGCGGCGTGGACTCCTTTTTGTGGTGCGTTGCTTGTCGTAGCCGAGGGGTGTTGGTCGTCGCATTGGCCATTCGGACTGGACGCCACGCTTGCGTTTGCGTTGCAACAGAAATCAGAACTGGTTTCGGTGGCAGCAGCGGCTCGTCGGGTGGCTCAAGCGGAGGCGTCCGCCATTTCTCAACATCAACGAGCTCCACTTGCAGGTATCGCTCCTTGGCGGGCCCATGGCCGAGCTCGACGGCATACTTGAGCCGGCTTCGCGCGACGGCGTCGCGAGTAACTCCCGTCGCAAGACTGCTCATGATGTTGACACGCTCGGCGTACCAGCGCTGCTCGGCGCCATCGATGATGCTGTCGTACGTGTTGCCCATCCTACGAATTCCGTCAGATGCACTCGCTTCATTCAGAGAATGACATGGCAATCAAGAGGTTGATGAGCACGATCACGACCAGCACCATGTACGCAAAGATGAAGAGCTGCGCGGGGATCGGCATGCGGCTGAGCCGGTACTCGTCAAACGAAAACGTCGCTGCGAAGGCCGCGAGGATGAGCGACTTTAGCCGATCGCCGAGTGGGCCGGGCCCATCGCGTGCATCGACGATCACATATAAGCTCGTGCCAAAACCGAGGAGAATCGAGACGTAGACAAGCGTGAAGCGGACGGCGTCCGAGAAGAGCATACGGTGCAGCATGACAATGAAGGCACCCGTTCGCCGAAACCCGTAGAGGAAGAAGAGCATGTGCATGTACGCGCCAAGGAGCGCGCCAGCCACGAAGCAGTCTTCCCACTCAAACTGGCGCTGAAGACGGGCGATCACCGCGCCGGTGACCATGACCACTTGGCTGAGCTTGAGTACATTGTCGACCAAGGCCGCACCCGTGTCGTGCCAGTAGTCACGGACGCCTACGCGCTTCTTGAGACTTTGTGATGGAGATGGCGATGGACCGTGCTCTCGGATCTCGCGGACTTCGCGCGCAACCTTGGCATATGTCTCGACGAGGATGTAGAGATCGGCGAGCAGCGAGAAGCCGCCGCGCCGCACGCTGAACGGGTGGTGGCGATAATGGTCTGTCGCCAGCGTCGACGCGGTGAGCACGAGTGTGTACAGAACGTGGCGAACGCACGCGCGATGAAACAAAGCGCCGCCGACAAAGGCCCACTTTTTATCGATGAGCGTCTTGACCTCAAAGGTGCTGAGGAGGTTGAGCCGCGCCTCCAGGGTGTCCTAGCGTCACACAAGCTTGGCGACACGAAGAGAGAGCCCGTGCCTACGCTGGTGGCTGCAATGGGGATGCAGCACGAGAGCCGTCGGTACGAGCAGAGGCACTCAATGGCAGTCTTGCAGAGGCGCTAGCACCAGCACAATCTTGGCTCTCAACGTTTGCCATGTCGACACGTACCGTCGCGGGGGCGTGCTTGGGATCGGCGTCGTACGGCTCTTCGAGTTCGCGGAGCGGAATCATTTTCGCGGTCACGGGACCATACATCCACGCCGTCGTGGTCTGGGCGCTCAGAATATGCTGGAACATGGTGCTTTTGCCCATGGCGGCGGCCATCGTCAGCGGGCTCCTACGTCATTCGCGACTGAGAGGCGGCGTCAAAGGACGTGGCCGCACAGAAAATCGCCATTCGGTCGGCTCAGGAATTGGCTGAACGCGGTTTTGTCCTTGCCGTAGAGCTGCTTCAGAAACGCTGGAAGGTCGTACGGCGCCGCGCTCGTTGGCTCGAACCGGACGGGACACGCGTACGGGTAGAGCGCCATGGCGTGCTTGATGGCAAAGTCATAGACGTCCGGCAGGTCGTGGACGACAGCGAGGTGCAGTGCGTTGTTGCCAAAGCCGTCACTCATCATGATGGAGGTCTTGGCGGCTGGCGACCCAGCAGGCGCCTTCTTGGCAGCCGCCAAGATGATGGTCGCGGCCGGAAGCAAGTGACTCGCCAAGGCAAAGAGCAGTGGTGTTCCGCCGAGGTAGCACGGCATGCCCGGTGCGAAGAAGGAGCCGGTCGTCTCGGCGTCCTAGCCCGCGAAACTAAGCGCAATGATTTCTACGCCGTCTACCAAGAGGTCGGGCACACGTTGCACTAGCCAATCGACAATGTCTATGTTGCGGTGGACGATCGCAATGTGCAGCGCGTTCTCTCCGCGGTACGGCGACACGGCGCTACCTCGGTCTTCGTACGTCATGAGCGCGTATGGATAGCCCTTCTCGACTGCATCGCATCGAGTTGTCGAGGGTGAGAATGAATAGAGGCGAAGGAGCTTGCGTGTACCTGGGAACGCCTCGATGATGGCTTGACCAAGGCCAAAGTGCTGATACAGAAACGCAATCAGGAGCGGGGTCGCGCCCACAATGTCGCGCTTGGCGAGGTCCGTCTCGGCCGTCGCGAGGTGTGCAAGCGTGCCCGGCACGTCGTTGGCCGTCACGAGCCGGAAGAGCCCGGCTTCATCGAGCTCCTTCACCTGCTGTGCCACGATATCTTGGTCATTTTCGCTCTTTTGAGCAAAGAGCGCGGCAAAGTTGGCTGCCACTCGAAAGGTGGGGTCGCCCATGCCAATCTCGGACCCAGTTGCAGTTACGTGCTGGACGGTGGCCACACAAACACAGAGCTAGTGGCACACACCAGCCCTGGGATGCCATGCGAACTGGCACAGGTGCATTCTCATGAGGATGTTTCCTCCGATGTATGTATACAGGAGTGGTAGTGGTCAATTAACTTAGTTCTTGGATGAGCGGCGACGGCTTGCTCGTCGGTGCTGTGATACGAATGTCACGCGGCGCAGCGGCCGACGGCTTGAGCTGGATCTCGCGTTCGTCGTCGTCGCTGCTATCGTCGCTGTCCGAATCTTCGTTGAGAATGCTCAAGGCAAAGTTCTACGAGCGCAATGAGATCCATGCTCCAATAGCATCACGTTCATACCATCTCGATGACTTGCTTCTCCGGGTCTTCCTCGGCGACTTCAATGTTGTATTTGGTCGCTTGGCCCGTCGCGAGATCCTTGGCGAGGATCTCGTTCTGCTTCTCCATTTGGGGCAGGAACGCCTGGAGCTTCGAGAGCACTAGTGCACAGAGCTATGGTCAGATCGACGCGGTGAGCCATGGCGGCGGCGGGCGTACGGGCGCTCTGGGGCACTGGCGCAGCGAACGACGGCTTGGACATCTCGGCAAATTGGACTTTAGGACTCCAACCAAACCGACCAATGAAACGACGCGCCCCAACCAATCCATACCACTTGATTCGTGTATGTCTAAAACCACGCAACCCTCCTCTCCGGATTCCGGCAAAGGCAGCCTGGAGTCGAAAAACGCAGTCTGAGTTGCCGTAGTAGCACGATGACCAAACCAGAAGTCCGTCCTTGAGCTCCGAGAGCGCGGTCTGGTGCCATTTGGGCTCTCCGCCCCGCATTCCTACCAGTCTGGCAACTGACCAGGAGACAGCCACCCAGCGGGCGAGAAATGGCGACTGGATTTGCATCATCAATTGTGGGGGATGACACTTGCCCGAGATCTTGCCACTCGATTGGGTGTTTTATGCGCGTCCAAGCGCGATGGAGTCGGCCGAAGCACAGAGTTGTAGGCGCAAGGTCGCGTATCTCGTCTCCTGGTTGACGTGTGCAAAGCGCGAAGGATCATTGCCTTTCCTGGGAACACAGACGCGGCGGCGATCTTCCGTCGTGTCCTACGCCACGTGAGGCGGGCCATGTCCTCGTAAATCGAATCTCCGGTTTTATTATACTACAGACTATAGGAGGCGAGAGAGACGGAAGGACCTGCGCGGCTCTACGCATGCTGCGCGCGCTCGTTGGCGTCGTCCTTCTTGGTGGTAGCGTCGGTGGCTCCCGCGCCTCTTGCAACCGCGGTGCGCCACGACTGCTGCAAAACCACTGGATCTTTGTAGCAAATTAAATTGCGAAATCCCAGTGGCCTGCCACATGGTAACGTGGCACGTCCAGGCGCTCGCCAATTACTCACGATCATCGGTTATTTTATTACTTGTCTTTTGTAAGCACAACGAACCGGACAACATTAAAATGCGACAAATATTTAGCTCGCGGGTTGGGTAATCGGAAGAGTTCAGTCCCGAATTTTGGCCGCGAGCTTCGTCCAGCAACCTCGTCCTCGCCGCCGCCATGCCGATCCTCCTTCGCCGCAACGCCCCGCGCCCGTCCGTTGAAGAGCTCGTGGACCCGATCTCGACCCGCGACCTGCTGGCGCCCGCCAGCAAGGCGACGGCCAAGCCCGAAATGCGAAGAGGGTCTGTGCCCGTGTTGCCGTCAACGGGCGAGTCGTACTTCAGGAAGGGCCGTGGGCGCAACTCGGAAGGCAACTTTCTCAACAACAACGTCTTCTTGCAGCCTACGACGGTCTCTGGCCCTGCCAGTGCGAAGGACCATGAAGGTTTGTCCTCGGGGTCGGCGTCGCCCATGGACGAGGATGTGCCACCACCGCGGGAAGAGAAGCCGCGGGTATCGACGTACTCGATGATTGTGAACAACCCGCTCATGGTCAACACACTGGCACACGAGCTGAGCCTGCTGCCAAAGACGTACCTGCGTCTCGCGCTCGAGCGCGTCGTCTCGTCCGCGTCCCGATCCATCTCGAGCATGCGCCGGCGCCCAAAGAAGAGCCCTGAGACCAAGCCGAGCGCGACGTCGCCACAAGTACCGCCGTCGTCTGGCGCCACGTCGCCCACCGAGAGCGACCGCAATTCGACACAGCAGTTGCCAATCGACTAAGTTAGCGCGTTCTCGCTTGCCCTTGTACCATAGCTGTATTCACGAACACGACGGTCGAGCGCGTTCGTCCTAGAAGCTGCATGTCCTCGTCGTACTAAAGTGACGTTTAACCCTATCAACAAGCTTCACGCAATGCAATCTTGCGTGGATGAACCACAATTATCTATGCCAATGGCGTCAACTACGAGGTCGGCGCCGGCTTGCCGCTCTTCCGCGACGCGATCGAGTACTGGATGTAGAACATGGTCGCGCAGATGATGAGGAAGCCAATGGCAAAGCCCAAGAGGCGCGGGTTCTACAAAAGAGGCCGTGAGATGCCATGTGGCGAGCAAGGACATGCGCCGTACGCGGTCGTTGGTCTGCAGGAGCACCTTGCGGCGCTTGAGGCGCTCCGACATCTTGCCGTAGCGCTCGCCGTCGTAGACCGCGGGCCCGAGCGAGACCTCGGTCGTCGGCGTCTGCTCCTGGTTGAACCGGTTGCGGATGGTGCTCATGTCGAAGGCAGTCTGCGGTCGAGTCGTCGAATGACCTATTCCAGGTCTGGCCAATCACCGGCCGGTACGTTCTAGCCAATCACAAGGCGCAATGCAGGATGACGAGCTTGGCGGCAGTCGCATCATGGTCCTTGTGCGGTCCTTGGGCGCTGCGCTTGATCGTCGCATGCAGGAAGCGCAGGAAGTAGCGGCGGAGATGGACGGAGAGACACGCGAGGAAGCGTGTGGCGCGGCCGTGGCGTGCGGAGAGCGAGCGGCCTCTACGCACAGAGAGGTTGTCGCCATAGCACACTAGCATTACGCGCCTCCGTGAGCAACAAGAGAGCGGCAAGCAGAGACACCACCGTACGAGGTTGAAGTCCGCTCAGCACTGTCGGTGGTCGCTCAGTTACGTCGCGCGAAGGCTGTTTCGTATGCCAGTCCGCTCCAGTGTCGGCTCCAGGTGCATCCATGGGGTGATATCACGGCGAACCACGATGGAGTGTTGACGCAGCAGCATCGCTCGTAGATCGGCCAACAGCAAACTCGGGTCACTGAACTCGGGTGGCTGCCTCGAATTTCACCAAGGGGCTCGAAGCGCTGGATTTGGTGCAAAAATGACTGCGTTTGGCCTCATCAACCAGCCACACCATGGAGTCGGGGCTGTCGAGTCGCTGGCACGGTTCCCATGGATCGCTTTTGGTTCAGTGAGAGTGCTCAAGTTTTTAAAGCCTTCCGAAGCGCTGACGTACATGTACATCACAGCGGATTACTCGGCACGGACGACGTCGAGAAACTCCTGCAGCGCATGCTGCGCGAGGCTGCCGCGGACAAGTACGTCGCGGACGTCGTAACGCTTCTCGAGGCGGATGCGCACAGCACCGTTGCCATGGCGGACTTGATGCGTGCGCTGGAGAACGGACTGCTCTTGTAGGTCGCCCCAGGTTCTCTTGTCGCAACGCCACAAGTGTCGACCACACAGGAGCACTGGATCAAGACTTGGGTGGCCTCTATCATGCGTACGACCTTTAGGACATCGAGACGTGCTCGCTAGTTGAGGCCACGGATGCGATGCAAGCACGACAAAGGAGCGTTTCCTACTGACGGGCGTTAGCGGCATTGCCCACGATAGGCATTTTGGTTGACCATCGTGATCCTGCTTGAGGCTCGCCGACTTCAATAAGCTATTGGATTGGATGATATTCGTGCATTTCAAGCGCAATCCACCAATGGCCTGCGTGCAATGCAGCGTGATGCGCCAATGGCATGACAGTGCAATCTCACGGATGTCCTCGACGAAGAAGTTTCTGCAGCGCGCAGTGTCGAACCAGCGCCTTCGCGGCGTCCTCGTCGACTACGAAGTTCTCTGCTCGTCGACAGTGCACGTGGCAGCACCTGCCGAGGTGACGCCGACGACCACGGACGCTCCTCTCGGCGACGGCGCGGCGCCGCTGCACCAGCCCACGATGTTCCAGAACATGCGCAGCCTCCTGCAGAACATGACCAAGGCCGACACGGAGCATGGCCGCCGCGTCCAGCAAACGCTCGCGGGCTTGCCGCACTTTAGTACATTGCTACATCCTTTCACTTGTCACTTCAACAGTCTACGCTTGTTAGTGCGGGACCGTGTCTTGGGCAGCGATGACAAGCCGGGCGCCGGCGAGGAGACGACGTCGATTGAGGAGCAACTGCAGCGCAGGGCCAAGCCCGTTGTCGACGTTTTGGCGACTGAAGACTCGGCCGACGGGCCGCGCGCCAAGTACCTCGAAAAGATGAACGCGCTCAAGCAGCGTGCCAAGCTCAACGCGATCAAGCAAGAAAATACCGTGGCGCCGGTCGCAGAGGACATTGCAGAAGCGTCTCCTGCCTCGGTCTTGCCCACGCGCAAGGTCAACGAAGGCGCCAACGCCTTTCTCGTACGCCGCGCGTTTTGAATTTTGCGCTCACGCATTGTCTAGTCGTATGTCAATCTGCGTGGTCTCGCGCTCTGCGTGATCCCGCCGCTGGCCGAGCACCGTCAGGTTCGAGCTCTTTTGCCCTCGCCTTTGGAAGCTAAGCCCATTGGTTAGGATGAGTTCCAACAATTCATCGACGAGGTACCCCGGTGCACAACAACAAGATGAAACTCAAGAACGTCTAGTTTGAGCTCGATGCTGTCATGGGGTTTGAGGCGGCCGTCGCCATGCCCCGTCCCGATGGCATTCAAACGCTCTGCAAGGAACTGGATCTAGAGCCCAAGGACATCGTCGTACGTCGTCGACTTTGCCGTTGCAAACTCGGACTCATGTGTCGCGTCAGGTGCTCACGAGCGCCGAGAAGGCGATTGCCTCGGCCAAGTACGAAGCATACTACACGTCAAAGCTAATGAAGAGCGTAGAGCGGCAGGGTCGTACACGTGCTTTCTCGCGACCAAGACGCGCGACTCGCACTACGATTGCGACTTTTCCATCCCGAATCTCCGCGAGTTCAAGTACGTCGTCGAGGACCTCAACGGGATCTCGTGGCGCAACTAAGCTACGAAATGATATGACTCATCGACATGTGTGGACTGGAGAACGTTGCTGTCTCATTGATTGCGGTGGTGATTGGCTCGGCGCCTAGACGAGGCTTGACCGAAACGCCCCTTCCCAAGATAGTGTGGACACAGCGGCGCAGCATCAATGGACACAGACAACGAGGCTGCGCACGTCCGTGTGTTCTACGACGCGTTGCGCGGCAGCAGCGACGGCCTCACGTACGCGTCGCCTACTGACACGTCGTCCATCTCATGGCACTCGGTAGCATCACGCACTTTCTGCTCCCGCTGTACTTTTTACAGCATGCAACATTCACTTTGGTGGACGCCACAGCTGTCTTTGACCTCGTCAAAGGTGCTGCGCGCTCGAAAGAACAATGTACGACGACGAGGTTATGACTAGGCAAGGCACGGACCGACATCATGTCACTGCGGGAGTATGCGACCGCGCTCACCAAGATCGCCAAGATTCGCTACGTGACGATGCCGCGAAGCCTCGCGCGACTTCTCACCGACATGCAAAGTTGGCGCGACGTTGCCGCCGTCACGTCGTTTCAGCCCAGTGCACTCTTGTCCAACACTGTCTCGGGCTATGACGATCTTCGGCTGCAAATGCTGTCGCCCGGCGCCGTCGAGATGCTGCGCCTCTACAACCACACCATCGCCAACGTATTACTATGAACTCGCTTGTCGTAATGTGCAAAGGATGCCGCGAATAGGCCTACCACATGTATCGGCGCGTGTCGCCGACAGCCGACGCCAGTGTCGAGACCATCTCGCTCGAGGGTGTCGTGGACTTCTTTGGTGGCTATTTCGTTCACCCCGAGTATGCGTCGACAGAGGACGTGCACGAGGTAGCCCTCGTACCTCTGGTTGCTTGCCACGGTCGCTTTTCTATAGCTGGCCAAACAGTCGAGTGCGCTCTGGCACCGGTTTGTCGAGGTGAACGTAGTACCGTCGACGGTCGTTGCGACGCCCAACGCGATGTCGTACCCGCAGTTTTTAGAGCTCTTGTGCCGTGTGAGTCATATTGTGCATCTCAAGCTGCTCCGCGAAGAGCATGGGCACATTCGCCGGCACATTCAAGTCGCAAGACTCGAGCACAGCCTCAAAATCCTGCTCGACCACATGCAGTTTGACCCGCACGTGGCCGTGATCCCTTCGCTCCAGTCGCAGCGGCCATCGTCCCGTACACTGAGACCTTATCCTTCGCATTGGATTCGATTTGTTAGTCGTAGCCAAGCTCGGGCGGCTCGAGACGCTCGTTCAAGACATTCAAAAGTCCATCGCGACCCTCTCCCAGCGCACTCTCGAGGTCCTGGACGCTCAAGTGGCGCAGGTAGATGCACAGGTCAGCAGACCCGATGCGGTGACACCCGCAGGTTCGAATCGAAGAGGACAACGTCTTGCGCGGGAAAGACCGACCCACGTACGCTCTGGACGTTGTCGTCATCCACGATGTGCTTGCCGTGCCCAATTTTGACACGACTGTGCGGCGCAAGGTCGAGTGTGCGCTCGAGTACCAAAACAGCGGCCAGCTCCACGTACTTTCATATCAAAATATCAACTTCCCCCGACGCCACATATGTAGATGGCGTGGTCGATGCTCCACGACGCCGAAAATGAACTCACCGCTGCGAGCCGCTTTAACGTGATGGATTCCGAGGCCCAGCTCTACTTTGCCTTGTCCAAAGGCGCGCTGTTTGATTCTGAGCGCCGCGACGTCGAAGCGCTACAGCAGTACATGGTATACACTAGTACATGAATGAGCACGAGTATCCACAACGGTATTAGGAGGCACTCGGCGTCGTGGACAGCCTCCCGCCATCGCACCCCGGCCGCGCTGTCGTCTGGAGCTGCCTCGGGTCGACGTGCTACTACGGCGGCGCGACGCTTGTCGCGTTGAAATGCTTTGATCGCGCCGTCACATTGCGCGAAGAGGTGACACCATTAGCTTCATTTGTATGGCGTGAGCGTCGTGGTAGACGCTGACCGAGACGCATGTCGATACAGCGACGTCGCTCAACAACTTGGCGTGTTGCTTTTACGCCCTCGGCAATATTGGGCATGCTGCCGTGCACTTCCGCGCCGTCCTCCGCGTCTTTGAGAGCTGCCTCGAGCCGTACCACCCGCGCACGGCGGTCGTCCAGCGCAACTATGACATGGCGCGGCGACACCAAACACGGTAATCCCTGTCGCCTTGTGGTCTAGTGCAATATCGTGCTCAGGTTCCTCCATGACGCGGGACATGTTCACGCCCGCGACGACCTCAAGTACCTTATTCCAGGCAAACCTACTTATACCGATGCCAACGGGATGGATGACCGACTAAACGACTACATGCGAACTGTAGGCAGTACGTTCCAGATTGGGTGTTTGGAGCGCGTCGAGGCGCCCAAGAAAGTCCCGAAAGTTCGCGCTGGTAAGAAGAGAAAGTAGAAAGATATCTAATACGTTCGTATCAAGATTAAACGACTTTGCGCGCACGACTAAAGTACGTCAGCGACGCACCGCAAAACTTGTGCATGTTGAAGAGCAGCATGGCGGTGTACCCGAGAGGACGCAGCAGAGCCTCGTCGCTGTGCCAAATGTGCACGATCAGGATGCTCGTGGCGACGGTGGCTGCGATCTCGAGTGGCCACTGGAGCTGCGCCAGGTGCGTCGGCAGGAGCGAGCGCGTGCTCACGACGTGCGCAATACACGCGAGGGCGATGCCACTCGCATACATGTCGGACGTGACCATTGGAACTACTTTGGCCCAGGACACGGACGCAGTGTACGCGTAGTGGATGTGTTGGCTCACGCTCCAGCACTTCCAGACGGCGACGGGGAAGCCGCAGAGACCGCGGAGCGCCATGAGACTCGTCGCTTGCGCCGCTGGCTTCCATGCGACCAGCGCCTCGACGAGGAGGCCGGCAGATGTGACGTCTTGCCATGGCGTGAGGCTGTGCAGGTAGCCCAACGTCTCGCCGCGGATCGTTTGGGTGACCGTCATACCGGCAAAGTTGCAAACGACGTAGGCAGCCCATCGCAGCAGCCACGAGCGGCGTGCGAGGGCCGCGTGGTTCCGGACGTTGATGCACACGATAATGACAAAGAGGAAGCGCCACCAGGAGGCCACGTACCGCGACGGCACGGCAAGCGCGACGATGTCGATGCGGGCGCATGTCGCCGCGACCACGACCATCGCGGCGTAGAGGTACATGTAGTGCGCAGCATCATCGGCGGGGGGCAAGACCTTGGTCGGCTCCGATCTCTGCTTGGCGTTCTCGACGGCTGAGGCCTTGCGCCGACTCTGGCGACGACTGGGCTTGGCCATGGCGGCTGTGGTCGGCTAAGAAATGACACGTGGGATCGACCCTTGTTCGGATATGCGCTCGCAACGCTTGGACTTTCTATACGTTCGGGGCCCATCCGGATACGATCTTGAAGCGGTGAGATCGCAACGGACCAATCACGCGCGTTTCTTCGACTGAATTTAACGCCCGCGATTTAGTGTATGATATGAAGTGCGTGGTGGTGTACATGACGGAGGAGCACTTCGCCGCGTGCGCAGCTCGTCATGCCTAGAGCGCTCATTGCACTAGCAACTATGTAGCCGCGCTGGTGGCGCATACGTTAGAGACACTTCAATCCGCTTGTGCCAGGGAGATCCAGTGTTTCGAAGGAAACTTCTCTCGTGAAATACTATTTCGTGGGTGTGTATTTTTCACTGCCAGTGGGTTTTCAATTTCACACGTGCAAAACGAGAAAATCCCAACTTCAATTGTCGAGATCTTGAAGAGGCGCCATGAGCGACGACGACTCGGACAGCGAAGACATCCTCTTTGGGGCCAAGGGCGCCGAGTACCCTCGTCAAAAGCTTCGCCGCGTTCGAGAAATCTTTCTTAGTCGACCGCAACTCGAGCCCCAACGTCGGCGATCGGCGATCGACCTCCCATTGCCTCCACCGCGAAAGGATGATGCCCGCCGCAAGTCCGAGCCAATCGTAGTCTCTACCAAGCTCGTGCGACCGTCGAATGAGACGACAACGTCGGAAGACGACTCGGCGGACGACTTCAAGCAGCTCTTCGGGAACCAAATAGAGCACGAAGTCGACGCCAACGCAGGTATAAACAACGACGCCATTCGCGATGTCATGGAAGCATTGGTAGAAAGGCGCGCAAAACAGCTCTCGGAAGCAATTTTCAAGGTCCACCGACTCTGCTCGCCCCAAGGCGGTCGCGCCGACGTGTCCATCGACGCGCACAAGACGCAGCTCGAGAGCTTTGCAGCGACCTTGCCACGCCCGTCGGCGGACCATCTTGCTATGGCGCTCAAAGAGCTCGTGCGCTGCCAGTCGATCGAGAGCAAGGCATTGCACCATAGTATCTATGAGCATCAGGCGGTATGCTTTCCTTCCCTATTATTTGTTTCTCAGGATGTCGTCGACGGTAGAGCGCCAAGGAGGCACTGAACCGTTTTGAGAGTGATTTTCAGCATCAGCTGGAGCAGCTTCGACGCACGTTGGCAGCAACGATCGCTGCCGAGCAGCACCAAGTATCGCTTTATATCGCTTCAAGGCATTCCTCACACGCACTTAGGCCAACGAGCGCCTGGCTACGTTAACCAGTGAGCTCCAGCATCAAGTCGAGCAGGCGGTGCGACCGCTGCAGCTTCCCAAGCTCCCTCCACGCCAATTGCCTCATGTGCGCTTCCCAAAGTTCGCCGCGTACGATTTGTTTCGGATTGGTCGTCTCTAATTATTACCAAACAGCAAGCCCGGGCCAAGCGTCCGCGATCTTCCGCACGGTCTCCGCACCTTGCCGCCACTGGTACCCACGATGCTGCACAAGCGGGTGGAAGCCAAGCTCGCGGCGTGCTCGCCCGACATGCTCGCTCGCGTGCGCAAATTGACGCAGGTCCCAACACCACTGAAGCGAGAACCGCTGACGACGCCTTGGCCCAAAGCGCCACTGTCACCGCAGCGGACCCATGCATCCAAATGGGACCAAGGGTTCGATTCCTATGGCCGTAGAACACTACTAGCACTGATGATGCTCCTAGTGTTTGCCGCGAAGATAACAACCGCCCACCACCGGCGCCGCTCAGCGGTCGGTTTTTGCGGCCCGAGGAGGAGAAGGAGCTGCGGGCTTTAAAAAATTCGCTGGGTGTCGCCACAGCGTGGATGGCGCGGGCACTGGACGACTAGACAGAGGGTTTCTCGTGGTCGAGAGTACAGTTAAACATTAAGCATCTCGGAAATGCTGGCCAGCGACGCGTTGTGCTTCTGGCGCTTGATGAGGAAGACCGAGACCTCGGTTTGGATACCCGCGCCCTCCTTGAGCACGTTCTCGACGGGAAACGAAAACGCCACGTCGGCCTCCTGCTCCAGGAACTCGTCTTCAAAGTTGTCGTACGTCTTGATCGCAGGGTCCGTGTACGCCGCCGCCTTGGCCTTCTTGCCCGCAGGCGCCTTCTTTGCCGCCTTCTCGACCTGGACGCCCGCGAGCATGAGGAAGTAGTCAAACTTGTACGAGTTCTTGAGCTCCGGCGTTGCCTCGTTCTCGATCGCCCAGTCAATGTCCTTTTGCAGCGCGTCGTGCATGTGGGGCACGAGCTGGTACGGAAGGTTGATCATACGCCGCGAGACGACAAGACCGACGTTGTTGGTCGAGAGAATCTGGTCGAGGCGCGGCTTGCTTGCGTCCGGGCACTTGGAGATCACGAGCGACATGAGCTGCTGGATCGACGGCTCGGCCTCGTACCGCTTCAAGCTCAGGGCCGTGATGAGGCCAAAGGCGTCGGTCTCGCCTTCGTTGCAGACAATCGTGCCCACGGTGACTTGGCCGACAATGATGTTGGCCAAGTTGGATGCATCGAGCTTGGACGCGGGCAGGAACTGGATCAAGTGCTGCTTCACCGAGTGGAAGTTGGCCTCGCACGGGTCCGTAAAGACAAAGTCGACCTCGACGACCTCGTTGGCGTCGCCGTTGGCGCCCAGCGTCAGGTTCTCGTCGTCCGAGGACTCGCCCATGCTATCGTTCACGTCCGCGTCGAGCTGGCGCTTGCTCATGTTGCTGCTGCTTGCTGCTTGAAATGGAGTGATAATTGGTGGCGAACTCCTGGCACGACCTCTCACACTTGATATCGTCGTGGCAGAGGACATCCGGATGACCAACGGATAATCATGCTGTTATAACAGGCCTGACATTTGTTACGATCCACGATGAATGGGCCGCTAGACAACAAGACCAGCGCGATCCTCGGGATCCCGCCGCCGTTCCCGTTCTGCGAAGCATGGCCAACCATACCGGCGCAGTCGACTACATGGCTCACACCAGCCTTCCGCGTCCATTCGATGCACATGCCGCCTGCCGCGCCCCGGCTCTACGACCCGATGCTTGACGCGCGCCACAGGCATCGTCCACCGCAGCAGCGTCATGCTCCCTCGCGCCTGCAGCACCATCGTACTCCACCATCGCACCAGTATACAGCTACGCCCTCTGCCAACTACTACAGCCAACCGCTCGAGCCAGCAATGCTTGCCCAAAGCGAGCAGGGTGACGACTCGGACAGCGAGTATGAATACGGGTTTGTACTCAACGACGAGTGGGCCGAGCACTTTGCCCGCAAGCAGGCCGTGCGTCGTGCAACCACCAAAGGGGCCAAGTCCAACCGGAGTAAGAAGGACCGACGCGCTTCGCGAGTCATGACGCCAGAGCCAAGTCCTCTCCTCTACGAACTTAGCGTCGGTGCACTCGGGCAACGAACGTGGCAACCCGAACACGAGAGCGCTCGCGTTCTTGCATTGGAGCGCCAGATGGAGCACGCGTTTACCATAGCCTTTAGCAACCCGCTTGATGTGTGCTTGTACAACTCGTAGTACGCAGATTCATCAAATATCAGAGTCTTTTGAATGAGCATAGCATCGCTGGCGTACTTTGCCATCAGTCAAATCTACCAGAGCGGTATGTGGTTGAGAGCCTGAAGCAGACCAAACAGGAGAAAATCGCGAAGGAATGTATGAAGAAGCAATTGTTTCAAACCAAGTACAGGACTCAGGCCCGAGCATTGTTAGCAAGCTGTGCTGCACCGTAGCTTTCAGCAGCGACCACGTATTTGCGAGCTTGCCTGCAGCTCCCACTCCAAGTTCCGGCTTTAAACGTGGCACTTGCCGAAATTACTTGCGTTGACGCGGCGCGCGCCAAACCGGAACTTTCTGCGAACGCGAGTTTTCGGATACCACAGTTTATCCGGCGAAAGATCGACTTGGGTTTTGTATGTGGAGCTCGCAGACCGCTCATTCGGGCGGAGCAGTCGAGGAAGAGACTCGACGGCGGCATGAGCCACGTAACAATTCCTTCCTTAAAGCGGACGCTCTCGGGCGGGAACGTTCCGCCGTCGATGCCATCGAGTCACATGAGCATGAACGCTGCCGCGTCGCTCAGCCAGCTAGCGACGGGCGACCGGTCGCCACGCCACGGCCATCGCCACGAGCCGCCGCCGTCCCACGGCCATGCGTCCATGCCCCACGCGTACCCTGGACCCCACGTCGGCTACAGCAACCACAGCCATGCGCCGTCGGTCGTAGGACCACCGCCAATGACGCGCGCCGTCACGGCCTCCGCTGCATACAACCGCCAGCCGCCCATCTCGTAAGCACTGTGCCCGCGCCAATTCCGGGCTTAATCTGTGTCTCCAGATTTCGCATGAGCACGGCGCCCGTCAACCCGCAACCTAGCGCCGCCGCGCCCTCGCGATCGCAACTAACATCGTCGTCGGGCCCGCCACCGCAGGACTGGCGCACGTATCTGACGATCGAGGAGCGTCAAGCCGTGCGATCCAAGATCCAAGACGCGTATACAAGTACTTGCAAGACGTACGAAGAGCTGTTGCAAGCGGTAGCCCATACCTACACCCCGTATGCAACCACTCACGCCTCGTCTCTAGGCCTCGGCGATCGAAGAAGAGCTCCTCCACATCGCTGCGCCGTCACGCCTCGACTACTTTAAAAGTGGCTTTGAGTTTGAGAACCGCGTCAAGCTCAAGCGGGAGCAGCTGCAGGGCCAGCTCGCTGCGCTCGAGAAGAAGAACTACGCGAGCGCACCGCCGTCGGCACCCAAGGGCGATGGCCGCTCCACCACCACCAACAGCAACAACAACAACAAGGCGTCGCCCGAGACCGCGGCCAAGAAGCCCCGCAAGCAATAAGCACACATCCTCCTTTGTTCCTATTATTGTAATCCGAGATCTAAAAGTACCGGAACACCGAGTGCTTGAGCAGCTGGAGCTGAAGCTTCTGCGGCCGGCTCTCGTGCAGTGTCTCGTCAAAGAGGTTGAAGTTGGTCGCCTCGAGCTTGTCCAAGAACAGCTGCGTCGGCACCTATTCCAGAGGACGTTGCCGACACGATCACAAGCCCATCAGACTCGCACCGTCGCGTAAAAGACGGGGACAGCCGCCTTGGGCAGCGACCCCTTGAGGTCGCGCGCCGAGCGCAGATGGTTGAGCGCCGTACAGGCCACGTCAAAGGCCGCCGGCGCGCACTTGGCGCCGAGCGCGGGGTCGTCGCCGAGGCCTTGTAACACGTCGTACGCTTCCAGCCCGTGCTAGTACCGACGTCAGCGCCTCATGTGCCTCTGCAACCCACCTTTTCCAAGACGGCTTTCGGGAGGTACACGTGGTTGTGCTTGGCGTGGAACACGGTACCGCGAAGCAGCGTGGTCATGCCCACGGCCATGCCGGCATGCCTAGCAGCGACGTCATGAGAAAGGACGACGAGGACGACGGCAAGCGTACTGCGCAGCCACGTCGGCCGTGTCATCGCGGACGTCAACGCACTCGAGCGCCAAGTAGAGCAGCGACGACGCCGTCTTTTCGGCGTAGTGCTCGAGCTGCAAGAGCGTCTCGGGCTGGTCCATCTCAAGGTCGAGTTCCTACATCGCAATGGTGGGCAAGCGCTGTGCAAGACGCGGCACGTACACGCGCTTCGAGGATGCGATCGAACCAGCGCTGCGTGAGGTTGTGGCGCTGGATGGCCGACTGCAGCTCGGCAAGGAGGAAGTGGTCCTTCACGGGCTTGGGGCTCGTGTAGATGTCGTGGATGCGCTGGCGCCACCAATGGATGCGCATGCGGCCCGCGCCCGGGTTAGTGCGCACCGAGTCCTTGATCTTGGCGATCTCAATGTTGAACGCGCGCTACGAGGATGCTATGAGCCACCTGCGGCGACGCGGCGAGACGGCGTCGCACGAGGGCAAAGTACGCGTCTTGCGCCTTGGACGGCAGCAGGAGCGCGCAGAGGAAGTTGTCATAGTCGAAGTTGCTAGCGTACGCACATAGAGCCCGTTGTCCTGCATTGGAGTCTCCATTACCGCACGCTGTCGCGCAGGCCCATGGCCTCGGACGAGATGGAGCGCCGCTGAAGTCCTCGAAGCATCATGATGCAAAATGGATCATACTTTTGGCCAATCGTTCACCATCCGGATACGCTGCAGTAGCCCCACGACCAGAGCCGCCTCGACCAGACGAAGAACAGGTCTGTCAAGCCATCCAGCCATGAGCAAACTGAAAAGCGCAAGGAAGATCGAGTCTGGAGGTCATGCTCCGGCAGTGCGACGCTGCCTCTGCGCTCTTCGCCCAACCAGGTTATGCTATCCGGACAATTGAACTTGTCCTCAACCGAGTCCGGATCGTATCCGGAGATACGCGTCAGTCGAATCATGCAAGCCCATCTTGCGACGGCTGCAGCGGTTGCGCTCGCACTGCTTGTGGGCACCAAGTTCCTTCGCGGGCGCATCTACGATCTCCTGATCGTGCAACTCACGGCGGGCTGGTACAAAGCGGTCCTCGACGATCTGCCAGCCACCGCCCGCGTCCTCGACGTCGGCATAGGCACGGGCCAGGCGCTGCTCCAGAACCTCGACCTCGTGCGCGAGAAGGCCATTGTCGTCGATGGCGTCGACTATGACGCCGACTACGTGGCGGACTGCCACGCCAACATTGCGCGCGCTGGCTGCCAAGATGCTGTCTCGGTCCAGCACGCATCGATTTATGATTTTGCGCCGGCCACAACGTACGGCGCCGTCTACTTTAGCGCGTCGCTCATGATCATGCCGGACCCGGTGGCGGCGCTGCGTCATTGCACGTTCTTCCTTGCACCTGGTGGCCACATCTACGTCACGCAGACGATCCAGACGCGCTCGTCGCGCCTCGTCGAGATGGGCAAACCGCTGCTCAAGTTTTTCACGACGATCGACTTTGGGGCCGCCACGTACGAAGCCGACCTTCTGCGTACGTTCCAAGCCGCAGGTCTCAACGTCCTCGACGAGCGCTGTCTCTCGGGGGCCACAAAAGACTCGGTGCGCTCGTACCGCATGTACAAGCTCGCGCCACAGTGAACGCATCCTCTTCGACTACCAGAATACGACAATATGACACTAGTGTACATCAATTATGCGTTGTCAGTCTACGGCTGCACGGTAGTTTCCTCCAGGAGCGCGAGGTTGGTTGCGATGCCGCTCACGCCGCTGATCAAACTGTTGAGAAGGAGGAGCTCCTCCATCGGGAGGCCCTGGAACCGTCTTGCCTCGAGCACCCACGATGCAAACGAGTGCCGCATCGCCGTCGTTGCGTCGAGGAGCGAGCATGTTTCGACGTCCAAAATATCGTACGCGTGCGAGACGCCGCCAAGGATCTCAATGTCCATCGGCGGCAGCACTTCGCACGAGCTCGGCGTCAGAAGCGGGCTTGCGTCCACTACGACTTGGATGCTGTCGAGCCGCTTGAGCGGTGGCGCTTTGGACTGCAGTTCGACTTCGAGCAAGAGACCGTTCTCGAGCGCTTGCATGAACGCCGGAAACGACACCGACCCGCTCTTGGTCGGGTCGACAATGTCCATAAAGTCGGCCACATACTGGTCGAGCGCGTCGAGCGGCACAGCACCCGACTGCTCAAAGATGCGCAGGAGAAGGCCCTTGACGTCGCTGCTGTCGAGGACACCGTTGCGATCCGAGTCGGCCCCTCGGAACGCCTCCTTCATCTGGCTAAAGAGCGCCGCCTGGTCGACATCGGCGTACCAAAACTGGCTGCCAAAGAGCACGTGCAGCGTGTCGAACGTGTCGTGGATCGCCGCGCCGACGTCTGATGTCGAGAACGTCCACGCCTCGCGCGGGCTCGTCAAAACCACAGAGTCCTCCGTGACCGACGACGACGACGTGCTCATCCTCTTGGCAACGTCCTGCGGTCGCTGGTGCTGGAACCAAAGCACGACCTTGTAGAGGATCATGGTGTGCACGAGGAGCTGCTCGCACGTCTCGATGACCTTGTCGTAGCGGCGCTGGGAGAAGGCGAGACGCCACAAGCGCGGCTCAAACATCGCCTCCTTGCGCAAGACCTCTTGCTCGGCGAGAAGACTCGGGACCGTCGTCTGGACAATCACGCGCATCTCGTCGAGCGTCGCCGGGTCCATCGCGCCTTCGCTCTTGAGGCTGTGCTCGAAGAGGATCGTGAACGCGCCTTGGACGAGCGCAAGATGCTTCTGCACGTTCTTGCGCACGAGAATGAACGCCGAGCTGGGCCAGAGTAGGAGCTCGACGCTCACAATGAGGAGGACACCGAGCGTCATCTGGGCAATGTTGGCGTAGGACGTCAAGGACCCGGGGGCTGGGCACATGTCATCCGGCAGCAAAATGCCAGCGGCGATAAAGGCCGAGACGAGACCTGCGTACGCATCCAGCCCCCCTTTCCACTTGACGTACATGGACATGGTGGTCCAGAGAAACAGAAAAATATCGCGCAGTGCGACGACCAGCGCGCGGTGCTCGCCGCCGTAGGCGCAGATGAAGAAGAGCGCAATGGACGGCACGATGACGCCGGCGACAACACCGACCGCGCGGAGGAGCGAAATCCCAAACGAGCCCCCTACATTACGTGAGAATTGTATCAAGGTATCGAGCGAGAGCGCACCGATTTGGTTGCCCATGATGTACGCAATGGTGGTTGCGGTCGTGGACGCAAAGCCAAAGACGTAGACCGAGGCAAAGCTCGCGAGGAGCAGTGCGACCCAGACCTTGCATGCAATCTGGAGCTTCCCCAGCGTGTACTGCGCCGGATCGACAAACGACTGCAAAGACCGCAGCACAAAATGGTGGATGCGCGTCGTCTATCGAGCCAAAAATGTGGTTAGCCCACCAGAATCAGAATGTGGAATATACCGTATTGTGGTTTTTGAGTCGCAGCATTTCTGGAAACTCAAGCATCGCGCCAGCGAGCGACTCGAGCGCAAAGACAAAGAGGTGCAGCGGCATCGTGCCCTCGACGTCCCCCGGCGTTGCGTGCATTTTGGTGTACAGCGCTGTTTGTGTCGCATGGAAGCGCGCGAGCAAGTGATCGACGTGGCGCTCCAGAGCTTCGGCATGCTCCAAGTGGAATTCTAGAGCAAGGATTCAGTTGGTCCGATTTGGAACAGGAGTCGTACGTGTGTGGCCGGCGTGGACGTGGTGCGAGATCTCTTGCAGAAGCGCCATCGCGTGTACTTGGACGGCGCAAATGTCGGGTTGGAGCTCCAGAATGAAGCTGCGGTGAAGTCGGTCGTAGCGCTCGAGGCGCATCGCTTGGCTCATCGCTTTGAGCGAGTTGAGAAGCGACGCGTAGAGCGTAATGTACGGCTTGACGACTGTCTTCTTAAAGTGGAGAACCGAGGCAAGGCCGATGCACTGCTCCCACCACGCGTCCTGGAGCAGCGAACTCATCGCGTCCTTCTTGGCGGTTGCGAGTTCAAATTTGCGCTGGAGCTTGACGCGCAGAAAGTGCATCTGGTCGACGTGCTTCTTCTTGAAGCAGTAGGCGTCCACCATGAGCCGAAGGAGCTCGGCGATGGTTTCGCTGGCAGCTAAAGTCTCTGCTTGGAGATTCCGGATCGCGCTACCCAATATGAATCAGTTGAAAATGAGATGCTACGAGTTGTCGTACAAGAGCGGGTAGGGGATCCAGGCGACGACGAACGAGAGCGTGACGCCAATGAGGCCGAGGCACATGTAGATGCACAGGTTCCAGACGATCGTCTCGCTCTGGTACATGGTGTTGTTGGCGGCCTTGAGCCGTGTCGGGTCCTTGTAGTCGTTGGGGCTCACGACGGTGAGCGCGAAGAAGAGGTTGTTGACCATCGCAAACTTGCGCGTGCCCGACGCCTAACGCGAGACATGGGATATGTAGTGTCTTTGTCTTGATAGACAATATAACGTACAAAGGGCAAGGTCAAAATGAGCGCGTTGAAGCCCATCATAAAGGGCAAGACCGTGCAAAAGTCGCGGTTGTTGACCATGTACGGCTCGCCGCTGAAGGACTGTGTGACGCGCAGGAGGGTGCCGTCAGCCAGTGCCGCGTCGACTAAGAATCCCATCAGAATGAGTACGTAAGTTGAGACGCTGGTACCTTCGCTTTGGGAGTGGAAGAGGCGCGGCTGAAAGTTGTAGAAGAGAAGTGCGTTGAACGCAAAGGCCAATGCGATCCCGAGCTTTTGCTGGAAGACTTGGCAGAGCGTCGCGCCCACGTTGCGGCCGGTGGCGATGACGCACGAGACAGCGACAAAGCTGACGCCGCCGAGGATGTACCATTCGGGGAAGGCCGCCCAGAGCTTTTGTGGGTCCGACGACTGCGTCATAAAGGCCGAGGCGAGTAGCACTCCGAGGCCGGACCGCATGGCGAGTCCGAGCGTTGCCTTGAAGATCTCTAGTAGAGCAGGCGTGAGGCATCACGATGGTAGGATCGCAAAGGCGTACGGCGAGACTTGGCATCGGTACCGACGGGCCGGCGCTTGCCGACGTTGATGCGGAGGCGGCCGGTGAGCGGCGCGAGCACCTTGCTGCCGGCGCGCTGCAGCATGGTTGTCGCTTGAAGATAACGACGGAATTAGATTCTGTTGCTGACAGAATTGTTCCGACTTGGATGCTGGTGAAAAGCAGTTGTGCGATCACGATAGCATCTCAGGTAGCGTATCGTGCGACAAGCCCAGCGCATCAACCCTCCTTCAACGCACAGGGTTCAGTGGATAGGATTCAGCTGCCTACACTATACTGCTACTGTACATTGCAGTATAAAATGAACGTCCGAACACAATGTGATTTGATGCGCCTACCGTGCAGTTCGCGCTTTGAGCGATGGGGAAATGCGGTTAGTTTCAAAAAGAACCCTGCGTGGCGACGCTGGTAGCTTCCGACGCTCAACCCATGGAGCAGCTTGGCGTCTGAAATGCAGGCCATCCAGTGAGCAGTTCATGCCAGTTTTGACCCGAGAGAGCGCAGCATCTGCGACATGCGAAACGAATATGAAATGCTTCGTCACATGGATCACCACTCCCGAGTTCTCTTGCCACAAGAACATCGCTCCGACACGCGCTCCGATGTCGCGCCCACCGCGTAAACTCTGTGGTAAAACTTCAACAAAAGCACACATTCAGCATATTTGGCGCGCAATCACAGACTGTGTACGTCGATCTGGACGCCTTGTCGCGGTACACGTAGCAAAACCAACGTTGAAACGACCCACTTCAACAACCAAATGCAACGCTTATCAAAGTACTGTGCTGTAGAACATCGTCTGCTGGCCTTGGATCAGGCCTCGCGACGCTAGGTCAGCTTTGGCCAAGCCCAGAGAGGTCGCATCGATGTACTGGCTCGTGACGAGCTTCGTGGTCGCATTGATGCAGCTGGCCGAGACGTGAAGAAGGAAGACGGCGACGTAGAGCCGTAGCAGACCCAGCATTACCATCGAGAGTCGAGTACCTGCGTCGGGTGGGCCCACGAGAAGGACCCCTTCAAATTGGAGGCTCTGGACAAATGGCGCGGCGATCGTTGCCACAGAAAGGCCAAAAACACCCAGCGCGCCGAGACTGCAGACTAGTGCAAGTGGAGGTTTGAGAAGCAGGTAGTAGCCGACGAGGCATATCGACGCTTGCGAGACCGTTGCCAAGCGGGTGCGGTCACGACAGTACGGATCGCGGTCTTCCTCAAGCAAAAGGCAGTCGCTGCCTCGTCGCGTGGCGCAGTTGTGGAGGTAGACATCGAGTTGCGTCAGATACGACACCAGGCGCATGAGGAGCTTGGCAACGACAAGGCCCAAGCAGCAGAGCGGTACCAGGGCAATGCTGGCGACGGTGCCGACAAGCACGAGCGGGCACGAGAGGATTGCGAGGAGCACGTGGAGCGCATGGAAGACGACGAGCTGCCACGTAAATGGCTGGAGCGGGCTCGTGACACAGTACCACACAAAGCTGCGGAGCCGCCGACCACTCTTTTGCATCGGCAGGAGCGTGGCGCCATAGCGAGTCGGCGCGCAGTGCATCGGCGTGGCCTCCGTGGCCTTGGTGGACGCAGCTTTGATCATGCTCCAATGGTGAGCCTCTCGCAACCATACCAACCCCAGGTTCTGGTCGTACTTCAAGTAGGGCGCGGATTGGCTGAATATGTGATTTCTTATCGAGTTGCACCAATCATAGCTCGGATGCTTGCAGGAGGCACCAATGGGCGACGTCCAAGCACGCAGGTGGGCTTAGGTATCTTTCCGGTAAAACAGCAAACATACGGATAACGCTTCTGGTAGCAGCCTCTCCTCTCACAGCTACAGCAACAGTACCGGCAGTGATTTGCCAAGCGCAAATCAGATATGGTGCCTTCTTTTGCTAATGCTCTAGTCATGCTTGAAGAACTCGCTATCAAAAGTGCATAGAGGAGTAAGTACTCGTACTTCGAGATCCCAGCGCAGAGGTCTGTCCTGACCCACGTTAAGCTCCAACGCGTCGAGCTTTCCGAGACCGCTACCGGTTGGCGCCATGCAGTTAGACATCGCAATAAGCAATAAGAAATTAGTGCCCACAATTCGATCGCGCTCTGCTCGATAACGCTGTCGCTGCACCTCAGACGCCTCGCAACGTCAACCGTGAGGCGACTGACGACGAGCGCTGCACACTCGTTGCACCTAACAAGCTTAAAAGAGACAGGCAGTGAGCGTGAAGCTAATGAAAAGCAGCGAAAGAAAGCTCAGGATGCAAGCTCGTGGCATGTTTTGGGGAGCACAAAACAAAATCATTTTGGCCAATCAAAACGACATCGTTGGCGGAATCGGCATATTGCGTGTGGCACATGCCAATTTTAGACCACTGACATTTCCCACGCTTTTCAGCCAATGGGCGTCGCTGAGGACGAAACTCGCGCGAGGTCAAAACCACACGTTGCAAGATGGCGGACGTGCTGGCAGCGATGCTCGACCGCAACGAGGTCCCAAGCATCGTGGGCCTCAGCCGCGCCGCAGGCGTGAGCCTCAGCGAGAGCCGAGGATACCTCGAAGACGCACTCGCCGCCGAGCCCGTCGCCGCCCTCTACGTGGCCGTCGAGACCACGACAGACCCAACGACCAATGCGATCGTCGGCAAGACCATCTCGCTCTCGCGCGTGGCCGCCAACGAATGCCTGTACGCAATCCACGCCGCAACCAAGGCTGAGAGCCCAAGCCTCGTTGATGATGGGATCAAGACCGCGCTGTGGTTCCCGACGATCGCGGACGGTGTCCCGTCCGCGTCGTTTAGCAGCGCAACCTCATCGGATGTCCAGTGCGCGGCCGCGACAGAGCGCCAAGGCAAGGCCAAGAAAGGCGCCGAGTCGGCGAGTGTGTTTCAGGACTTTAAGAAGCCAACGATCTCGACGACCCCGACGTTTGCCAAATCGTCCAAGCCCGCGGCCAAACCGGCGGCGGCATCAAAGGGCGGCTTCTTTGGCAAGTCCAAGCCTGCGCCGGTGAAGAAGAAGGCGACGCACGTCATCGATAGCGATGACGAGAGCGACAACAGCGACGATGAGATGCCCAAGTTTGTCAAGTCCACCAACAAGCGTCTGAAAGTGTGCGACAGCGATGATGACGATGACGACGACGATCCGCTACCCAAAACAACGACGGCTCCCAAGGTTCCTATACCCAAGGCTGCCACGCCAAAGGCGCCTACGCCAAAGGCTCCTACACCTAAAGCTCCTACACCCAAAGCTGCTGCGCCCAAAGCTGCTGCGCCCGTGCAGCGAGCATCCCCGCCACCAGAAGCGACCCCGAAGCGATCACCCGAGCCACCAACAGCGCCACCTGCCAAGCGCCAACGCCTCGTCACCAAGGCGCGCATCGACGAGCACGGCTACATGGTCAACGAGAGCGTGTACGAAGACGTCGCGAGCGGCGACGAGGAGCCCGCGCCGCCTGTCGCCCCCAAGCCGCGCGTCTCGGCCAAGCTGCCGGCGCCGCCACCCAAGAAGAAGCGCGTGCTCAAGACGTCTGGCACAGCCAAGCAAAGCAACTTGATGGATTTTTTTGGCAAAAAGTAGATGAATATATTTGCCTTTTGCATATTCGACTGCACGGAACTTTGCTAGTGTAGCATTCGGCATTAGAGGCACATGCCGATTTTAACCGCGAAACCGACGTGCGCAACTGCTGCTTGAAACAGCAACTTGCTCGACGGACGCGATGCTGCTGTCACCGCGGGTGCCCAAGCACCGGCGGTCGACGTCCAAGGCGGTCGAGAAGCAACTGCTCGCGACCGACGGCCTCGTCGGCGACGACTTCACCAACTGGAACTTCAACGTCTTTGAGCTCTCGACGCCACCGTCGCAGCTTGCGTTCGTCCAGCGGCTCTCGGTGTTCTTTGAGCTCCATGAGGTCTTTGGCCTCTCGCTCGAGGCCATCGGCGCCTTCTATGCCGACGTGCAGCAAGGCTACGTCGAGCGCACGACGCAGCCGGTCGTGAGCCGCCGCTACCACACCTTTCTCCACGCGGTCGACGTCATGCAGACTGTCGCTGTCTTCTTGCGCGGCTTCCACGGCCACGCCTACCTCTCACCGCGAACTGCGTCGGCGCTTCTCATCGCGTCGCTCTGCCACGACATTGGCCACGTCGGCCTCACCAACCAGTTCCTTGTCAACTCTGGCCACCCGCTGACGCTGACGTACCGCAACCCGGTGCTTGAGAGCATGCACACGGCGCGCACGATGGCGCTCGTCAAGCAACACGGCTTCCTCGCCACGCTCGAGACACAGGTACTGTCCTACCCATATCGTGGCGTGGGAGGCTACCATATACAAATAGGAATCGCTGCGCATCGCCAAGACAATCGCACGCTGCATCATGTACACGGACGTAAGCATCCATAGCGAACTCTTGCGCAAGATGCGCGCGCTCCCCCGCGGGTCGTCGACGCTACTGGAAGAAGACGCGTACGTCTACTGCGGGTTCCTTCTGCACACGGCCGACATTTGCAACCCGGCCAAGGAGTGGACGCTGGCCGAGCACTGGACCGACCTAATAATGAGCGAGTTCTTTGAACAGGGCGCGCTCGAGAAGCGCGAAGGCCTCGTCGTTTCGACCTTCCGGAACGCCGACCAGATCAATACGTCCGAGATCCAAGCCAACTTTGTGCGCCTCATGCTGCAGCCGACGCTCTCGCTTCTCGCCGAGTTCCTGCCGGCCGCAAGCTTTCTCCAAGACATTGCCGAGGCGAATCGGCGGCAGTGGGAGGCCGAGAGCCGGCGCGCGCTCACGGCACCGCAGATCGAGCTCATCCGCGCGCTCTCACGGCCGCTCGAGCACAAGCATTTGAGTCGACGCGAGCGCATCATGGAGCGGCTGACGCGCTTTAGCGAGCACAACGCGGTCGTCGTCAGTCTCTTCCTCGCGTCGCTCTACGCGACCTTCTCGGACAATATGCGCATCGCCAGCACGAGCGTGCGCGGCGACTTGGCGTACGGCGTCTGCACCGTCCTCGTGCTCGTCGTGATGCTTTTGGACGTGGTATTGACCTCGATTGTGCTTCCGTCGTACCGCTGGAGCTTTTACTTTTGGCTCGACCTCGCCTCGTCCGTGACGCTGCTCACCGAAGTGCCGTTCATAAACTTTCACAGCCAAGTGAGCCACCTCTCGCTCTCGGGCGGAGCCAAGATCGCCAAGGTGGCCGGCTTCCGCCTCGCGCGTATGCTGCGGATGGTGCGCATGGCCACGCTCTTCAAGATGTTCAAGCAAATCATGGTCAAGCGCTCGTACCGCCCGCGCCGCCTCTCGCTCGTCAAGCAGAATCGTGCGTCGACGGCGTCCGTGTCCCCGCCGCTGCCAAGTGATGGTCCGCGCGCGACGTTTTCGCCCGAGGACCTCAAGCGCATCTTTGCATTGCCCGACGGACGCCCAATGGTCTATACGATGGAACACATTGAGCTATTGCTGCGGGGGGCGTACCGGGGGTACCCGCCGCCGGACGACGCGCGCCACAACTTTTGTGCGCGCGTCGCATCGAGCACCAACACGGCGCCGATGCGGACTTTTGCGTTATCGGCCGCCAAGTTTCACAAGATGTTATTGGCGATGGAGGAGGCGTACGAAGAAGACATGACGAGCAACAACAAGATCAGCCAGCTCACCTTTTACGCGAGCCGGCTCGGTGAAAAGGTCGCCGACTCGACGATCCGCCACGTCATTTTCCTCCTCCTCGCCGTGCTCATCATTCTGACCGAGGTCTTATTGCTTCTAAAGCACGTCAACTCCATATGAACCTAGTGCTACACGCCCCGAGATGTCTCGCCGATAACGTATGGCCTCACCAAGCTCCACATGTGGGCCGACGGGCCGCTCAATACACTCTTTAACCGGGAGCTCGCTGCGTACATCAACGCGACGGAGCCAGTCTACTTGTACATTGCGCGCGCCAATGCGTCAGCTGTCCACACGGCCATGCAAACGTACGCCCACGTGCCGTGGCCCATCGACGCCGTCACCTTCAACGGGTCGGCGATCTACGCGTCAACCGTTCTCACCAGCTACCGCGTCGAGTACCTCAACGTTGTCGCGGTTCCGTCCAACTGCACGTGGCCAAGTCCGGAGATTCCGTGCCAGAGCATTGCGGTCTTTGACGGCGGGCCCGCTGCCAAGTCGGAGGTGCGTCCGCCTTCTCGTCCTCGTGTCGACTATGGACGTAGGCGATCTGGGAGATTGTTCGCACTCTCTTCATCATCTCGTGCTTTGCGAGTGGCGGTATGCTCCTCACGCTCGACGTGTACAAGCGCGTCATCTTGCCGGTCGAGCGCATGGTTCTTTGTATCAAGTTATCAACACGGAAAGCTAACTCGGTTCTAGGTGAGCTTGACGCAGCAGTTGGCGCTCAACCCGACCAAGTCGGTCTCGGCCGTCGACGAGGAAAAGCCCATGTACGAGATGAAGCTGCTCCAGAATACGCTGACAAAGGTCGCGCGGCTGCTGCAGATCGGGTACGGCTCGGCGGGCTCGGCCATCATCTCGAAAAACATGATGGGCGCCGAGTTCAACCCGATCATTGCCGGCAAGAAGGTCCACGCGGTCTTTGGTTTTTGCGACATTCGGCGCTTCACCGACATCACCGAGTGTCTCCAGGAGCAAGTCATGATGTTCACCAACACGATCGGACACATTGTCCATCACGCCGCCTACACGTTTGACGGCCACGCCAACAAGAACGTCGGCGACGCGTTCCTCCTCGTGTGGAAAATTCCCGAAGACTCGCCGGACGTCGCCGTCATCAACCAAGCGCGGCCACCGGCGCACCTCACGACGACCTCGGGCGCCGAACTCGACTTTCTCTTCTTTGACGAAGAAGGGTCCAAGAAGATGGCGCAGTCCAAGGTCTACGTCGCGACGGCGGCCGACAATGCGCTCATGGCGTTTCTCAAAACGATGGTGGACATTGACATTTCGCCCAAACTCAAAGCGTACACGACCAACAAACTGCTCCAAACGCGGTTCGAGTCGCCTTTTCAGGTGCATACGCTTGTTTTTCACGTTGAGTTTCACGGCTCTTAGGTCAAGATGGGCTATGGTCTCCACGTTGGCTGGGCCATTGACGGTCGGCGCGTCATCAGCAACGCGCATCTCACTGCGATGTAGGGGCGATCGGGAGCAAGTACAAGATCGATGCGTCGTACCTCTCGTCGGACGTCAACATGGCGTCGACGCTCGAGTCGACGACCAAGCTCTACCACATTCCGCTCATCATGTCGCACTCGTTCTACAATCTATTGTCGCCGCAACTGCAGCAGTTTTGCCGCTGCATTGACTGCGTCCTCTTTGACGGCTGCGCCAAGCCCATGGCGCTCTACACGTGCGACTACGTCAACCAGAATGTTCGCCACGTGCGCGGCGTGGCCGACGTCCCCCTGCTGCAAATGGGGCTTCTCAACGGCTTTACGTCGACGTTTGAGAAGGGCGTGAACGAGTACCTCCGCGGTAGGCGACCTCATGTAGCGTGGTGGTTGATGAAACGCAGGCGCGTGGCGGGAGGCGCATGACACATTGGACTTCCTCCTCGCGCACCTCAAGCCCCACGACGGCCCGGCCGAAGCGCTCATGGAGTACATGGGCAAATACGCCTTTGTGGCGCCGCCCGACTGGCCCGGCTACCGCAAACTCTAAATCAACTGCATAATTCTACGTTTCTTCGTGAGCATGACGGACTTGGAGCTGAGTTAGTCGAAGGTCCATCGTCTTGAACAGCAGTGACGGCTGCGATTACTGAAGCTAGTTGGCCCCTGCGGCTAGCACGAGAAGACGAGGCGGAGAATAAGCCTCATGTTGGGCCATGTGGGTCGGTCGCACGTTAGTTCTGGCATCTCACATTTGGAACTCGTGCTTGCACGAGAGTGTGCCACGAGGCTCGTAT